CAAACAGCCAGCAGAGCTGGGATTCAAACCCAGGCAGGTGGGCCCCAGATTCCATACTCTGAACCACCCATTAGCTGCTTCTGAGTGTTAGATGGGCAACCATTTTATAAGTTTTAGGAAAAATCAATGCACCCCTGAAGAATAATTATAATTCTGAGAAGGCATGAACTAAGCTCCCTAGTTCTGCCCCAGGTGCAAGCTGGAGGAAGAAGGGCAGCCCTGGTCCCCCCCACCACCACCACCAGGCAAGCACCTGACAGAGCAGAACTTCACCCTGGAACGCCAGGCCCTTCATGATGGGTGCTGGGGAGGCTGTGTCTGTCTGGCGGCTCTCTGCCCTGCCCCCCCCCTTCCTTTTACAGGAGGTCTAGTGCCAAGATTAGGGACAGGCTCTGAAGCCAGACTGTCTGATCTTGGATTCAGCCTAGGAACAGAGGTACCTGACCAGGGCAGAGGCTCCTATATGGCAGCGCTCTCTCTCTCTCTCTCTCTCTCTCTCTCTCTCTCTCTCTCAGGCCAAATTTGCCTTCAGGCATCATATCTAGCGGTGTTAATTTTACAAAGAACTCTGATAGCCATAATCCCTCTTAACCTTCAGGACAGCCCTGTAAGGTGGTGACTGCTCTCATGCCCATGACCAAAGACTTGAAAACAATCTTAGAAAAGTTGTCACTCAGGCATCCATTTAACAAACATTTATTAAGTGTTTGCTGTATGCCAGGAAATAAATCCAGCTCTCCTGATTCAAGGTCTTTCCACATATTTACTTCAACATGTTGATTCCTGATTTCCTCTCCTCCAAAATGTGCCTCCCAAACACTCCCCTTCTGCTGTGGTTTTAAAATGTCTGCAAATTATTTAATACAGCTCCCTTCAAGAAGTGGAACCAAATTCCCCTTCAGAGGTGGTTGGCTTCCTGCTCTCTCTCTCTCTCTCTCTCTCTCTCTCTCTCTCTCTCTCTCTCTCTCTCCCTCTCTCTCTCCCTCTCTCTCTCTCTCCCCCCATCTCTATCTCTATCTCTCAATCTATCTCTATCTCTCCTCCCCCTCCCCTTCCCTTACTCTGAGGGAAGCCACCTATTAAGTCAGGAGCAGATCTACAGAGAGACCCATGTGGCAAGGAAGGCCTCTGACCAACACGTGAGTGAGCTTGGGAGTGGATCCCCCAAATCCAGCCAACAGCTTCACAGTAACATTGTGAGAGGCCCTGACCTAGAACCACCCCTATGAGCTGCTCTTGGATTTCTAGCCCTCAGGAACTATATAAAATAATGAATGTTTTTGTTTTAAGATGCTGAGTTTGGAGGTCATTTTTTATGCAGCAATAAATAACCAATACATCTTCCCCACTGTAGGAACCCTCTCTCTCCCTTTTACTGGGCAGCTGAAATCAGGTGAGTTAGTAAAATAAGTCAGAGCACCTGTGTTCAAATATCTGTGATAGTGAGTTACTTAACCACTCTGTGCCTCTGTTTCCACATTTATTAAACAATGATGGAAAGAAAGATTGTGAAGATTAATCAGGGAATAGAACTGTGAAGAGTACCAGGCCCCAAACTGGGCACTTGGTGGGGGCCTGATAAACCTGAGCACCCAGTTCCTGACTTCTTTGCATGCTCCCGCCCCCATACATGAGACAGGCTGAGACTAGGACTAGGGACTTTGGGAGATCCTCATCCTCCAAGATGTGACTGTTCAATTATGTGCAATGTGACTACTTTCTGTAGCTGGACTCAGGCGAGAATGGAGGTTGCTTTCTGCAAAGCTGCCTTAGAGATCGTCTGATCATAATTAATGTTAATTCTGACATAAATCAGCACCCCTCCCCTGCCTCCTGCTATGTGATGGTTGATGGAACAGGTTGTTGTACGGACTTGGTCAAGCATGTTAAGCAATTTCCATACCTAGTGGCATTCACATACTAGTACCCATGACTATCCCCCCACCCCTTTACCCTATATAATTCTTTGGTGCCGATCAAGCTGCTCGAGAATCCAATTCTCTTGCAGCCGCCCAAGATATGCCTCATATGTAAGTTTCCCTTAATAAACTCTATTAATTACCAACTGGAGTAGTGTGCCTCTTTCTTTGGTCTTTTCCTTGCCCTCCGCTTACGGAGGAATATTTTCAGTCTCAGGTCTTTTCCCTGGGTCTGTCTAAACAAACAGTCCTTTTCCCGCCATTAGAGACAGAGGAGGAGGAGACCTACCCTGTGCCAGGGATTTTTCTCCCAGTCTTGGGGTGAGAAGAGACTTGTCCATGAGAGGCAAGATGTACTACTGGAAAGATGCACAAGCCTGGCCAAAGCAGAGCAGGGCTTGGCGCCCCATTGGCCAGGCTTGTGCTCCAGCCTAGCCACCCACCACCTCCCCTTAGGGTGAAAGGAGTCCGTCCAACTTGCCACTCACTAGTCCCTAACATATTGGGAAAACTGCAATTTCCAAGACTTTGCCTATTTCCTTTCCTTTTCACCAGCTTTCTTTCCCCCTCACCTCCATTTTTAAATGTTTAAAATTTCTTAATCACAAATAATATATGAAAAATACGAGCCAACATTTTCTGAGAACTTACTAGCTGAGATTCTAAGACTGTTAGGTGTCACACAACCACTTTATGAGGCAGGTTCCTATATTAGTACCATTTTACAGCTTAGAAAACTAAGGAATAGGGGTAAACGCTCAAGGTCACAGAGGCAAAAGAAGCTAATGAAGCTCAGGCTTCGAGGTCAGTAACTCACTGACACAGGCAGTTCCAAGGATTTGGGCTGAATTTTGTATTCATATTTAGTAATTTAGTAGTTCTTTTCTTAAAGAGGCCCACAAAAACTGGATGCGGCCTCAGAGATAGCAGCTGTAGTGTGCTGTCTTCTTGCAGATATTTAGAAAAATACATTTATGTTAATTAACTGTCCAATAATATACATTTTCCACATCTTTGCTTCCTATTCTTTGATCACTTTTTAATGAAAATTGTGTACTACTATTTTCTGGAGAGGATAAAATGATAATTCAGTTTTCTACAAAAGTTGATGGAAATTTTTTAATAGATTTACAGGTAGGTTTGTTTGTTTGTTTCTATCCTCACAACAATAAACAACAGAGAACACATTCATTAAAAAAAACACATTTACGGCTGGGCCAGCTGAGTGGCGCAATGGTTAAGAACTGACTTGGGATGCCAGAGGGCCCCGGTTGGGATCCCACATATGAAGGCCAGTGACACTGCCCTCTACAGCTAAGATGCTGAACAACAGCTCAACCTGGAGCTGGGCTGCTGTGAGTCGCTGGCGACGGCTAGGCTGCAGCCCCTGTGGCAGTGGGTTGCCATGGGCTACCGTGTGTAGCCAGCAGCCAGCATGAGCGGCCAGCAGCCAGCGTGAGCGGCCAGCAGCCAGCGTGAGCGGCCAGCAGCCGCAGTGAGCGGCCGTCCAGAAGCCGGCGACTGATCTGCCTCGCCTGGGAAGAGCACAATGATGGTGCCAACTTGGGCCAGTGAAGCAACGTCCTCCACAACTAGACTGAAGAACAAAACAACAGCAACTTGTCTGTTCCCCTTCTCCAATTCCCCAATAAAAATCTTTAAAAAACAAAACAAAACAAAACATATTTACGGCGCTCTTCCGAGCTCGGGGCTCCCCGTGCGCCCTCCTTCAGTACTCCGAGCTTGCCGTGGTGTTTCCCGCCCCGCCCCACTCCACGCGCCGGCTCATGCTCGGCGGCACCAGGCCCTCGCCTTCCCGGTCCAGACGGCAGCCCTCTGTAGAGCACCATGCTCTTCTATTCCTTTTTCAAATCCTTTGTGGGCAAGGATGTGGTCGTGGAACTCAAGAATGACCTGAGCATCTGTGGAACCCTCCATTCTATGGATCAGTATCTCAATATCAAATTAACTGACATTAGTGTCACAGACCCTGAGAAATACCCTCACATGTTATCAGTGAAGAACTGCTTCATCCGGGGCTCAGTGGTCCGCTATGTGCAGTTGCCAGCAGATGAGGTCGACACACAGTTGCTACAGGATGCAGGGAGGAAGGAGGCCTTGCAGCAGAAACAGTGATGGCGCCTCTGCTCCCCTTCCCTCTTCCATTGGAGCGCCTTTACCTCATGTCCCAGACCAGGACCCCTTCCCTCATACTTTAGGTGTTGTGGGTTTTTTTAATAGTGAAAGCACCCCCCCAAAGGAATAAGGGAATGAGAGAATAGTGGGGAGCAGCTATCCTCTGTTGAGGAGTGGATAAGTAGTCTGGGGAACTGCAAAGCCTTTCTTGTCACCAGCTCCTGCCTTTCTTACTTCTTCCCTGGAGATGGTGGGAAAATCTTCCAGATCTCTCCAGGGCAGCATGTGATTCATTCTGGGGATGGAAGGAATCTGTCCCGCATCGGGAATAAAATTTATGATGCAAACAACAACAACAACAACAACCATATTTACATGTGTAAACACACACACAGAAATAGATCTCCCGCTTTAAAAATACTTATGGTCCCACAGTGTGTGTAGCTAGCACCCGACTCTTTCAACAGACATTCTTGACTGTCCAAGATTCTAACCGTCGCGGGGTGTGCGCCACAGATGCTCGAATTTATCGACCAACTTTCCACTCGCCTCCCAACCGCGACCGCCCCTTCCCCGGGGTTCTTCCCCTCGTATTCTCTCTTCTTCCCGCTCCTCATCCGGGTTTCCTCCCTCACACCGTCCCCCACCCCTTTCTTCGCTACCTCTATACCACCCCCATTCCTGGCTGCCCCTCCCGCGTTTCTCCTTTCCTTGTCCTGCCCCTGCGCTTCAGCGCCAACCCCGTTTCCTGCCTCCCGCGGCCCCTTTCTAGCCCCCGCTTCCTCCCTGTGGACCTCGTTACACTTACTTACACAGAGTGCCCCCCACCCTTCTCGGAGCCCTTCGACCCCCTCTCCCAGCCCTGCCACTCCGCGGCCCGGCAGGAGCGCACAGCCGGCGGGCTACGAAGCGCGCTGACAGGGTAATGAATGGCTTCAGCGGTAATTAGAGACCCAGCGGCTAATCACGGTGTACATTTACATTTTAAGTGCTTGCAGAGGGAGCGAGGAAGGGGAGGGGACAGGGAGGAGGGAATGCGGGCCTTTTCGCAGCTCTCCCTTCAAGGACTCCGGAGCGAAGTGAATCGAAGTCTTGTACAGCTGGCAGCAGGGGAGGGGCGGGGGGGTGGAGCGGTGAGGGGAGCGGCACCTTCCAGGGCCAGACCAGGCGGACGCTGCATCCTCGCCCTACGCAAAACCAGAGCTCCCAGGCCCCTTCTTCCAAATTGCAGACCCCTGCCTACATCCCCACACACACACACCCCAAGTGAACGTTCAGCCTGGGCTTGCATACCCCGTGGATGAAGAGCTTGCTTTTTCCTTAACCAACCCCTTCCAATGTAGCTTCCAGCTGTTCGCGGAATCTTTCTCAGGCCTAGCCGAAACTGCCGCCCTTTAAGTCCCACAACTGCCCCGGCCTTACAGAGCTTGGGGTTCCCCGCGCCCCGCCAAGCGCTGCAGACAGTCTTTGTGTCTTCTCAAGGCTTCTGCGCCTCCAGCTCCTATGGCCGCTCCTCGTGGGGCCCGCGGGAGTTGGCGCGGCGCCGAAGTCCAGGTTCAGAGCAGAATGCGACCGCAGGGCCCCTGATCCCAGCGTGCAAGCAGGAGATCGGGGAGGTCGGTCACTTATACGTTGGGACGCAAAGGTCCACCTGCTCCAGCCACTCCCAAGGAGCGGTGATGGAGCCAGCCCGGAGTTTTGAACAGCGGAGGCCGAGAGCTAGGAGTTACAGGATGCCGAGGAGGCGAGAGCCCCGGTGAGGAGGGAGAGGACTCCGGCAGCCCCCTCTCAAGACTGGGGCCCAGCTCCGCCAGGCTTTGTCAATCCCCCAGCACTTTCAGGGTTGCCCCTCACCAGCTCTCCGTGCGCCTGTCCGCCACGCTCCGTCGAAGTCACCCCACCAGGATCAAGTCTGCCCCACTCTCTCGGTTCTGACGGCGGTGCCTGAGATGGGCGGAAGGATGAAGGCGCTGGGGCAGTTCTAGGGAGGGTCCAGCTCCTTTTCCAAACCCCTGCCTCCCTTCAGCAGTCCTTCAACTCCAACCTCGCCTCTGTCTTCGCTGTTCATCTATCCTGGTAGGAGACCCGGGGCCACTCTCTCGGTCGAGCGGAGTTCCCGGAGAGGGGCACCCAGCAGCTTCCTAATGCCACCAAAGCTTCAGCTTCCCACCTTCTTCCTTTTTCTCTTTTAAAATCTGCCTTCACCCAGTCTCCTTTTTGAAAACGGACCCCAGAGGTCCCAGGGGGCCAAAGCTGACTGACAACGAGCTACCTGGGAAAAAGGAGGATTCACATCAGCAGGCATGCAGCTCTAATAGTGGACTTTCAGGCAGGGGTGGAGGGAGCATAACCCTTGAGGAGGGATCTCCTCGTTCTCTTCCCATTTATCCCTGGGACAAGTCTGGCCCAGAGCCTCACTCCCCACTCCCCAGGGGTGTCCCGAGGTCCCGTAACCTCCAGTCAGGCGCGGGTAGGCTGAAACCTCAGCCTCCCGCTGCCCTGTGAGGACCACGCCGCGACGTAGTCATCCGAGGGCAGTCACCGAATTGGGCCGGAGGCAGCGCCTCCCGCACTTGCTGACGGTGCACAGGCTGTCCTTGAGGCAAGAATACTGGCTCTGGAGCGGAAGCGACAGAGTTGGGGGGTGGGGGTGGGGGTTCCCAGAGGAGTGGGGGAAGTTCCCAGAGGAGTGGGGGAAAGGCCCTGCAGGCCGCTTGTAAATCTTTCCTTGGGAGGGGAGAAGAGGCGGTCTTCAATTGGAACGCGGAAGGGCTTGGGGACCCTGCTTGAAGCGGCGTTTGCAACGCAAACGCAGTTTTTACTTAGCTTGCCCGTTTATAAGCGTTGGCTCGGGGAGAGCTGATGACGACTATAGGGGAACTTCGCCTACCAAGTCACCCTCTGGCGCTGCCGTTGCGCGCCGGGATGCGCGCTGCTCCCACGCCCCTTTAGCAGAGGATCCGGCTGGATTCCCAGAGGCGGGTGAGGCTGGGGCGGGGGCGAGCAGACTGAGTTGGGGGCGGGGCCTGAAGGTAGGGGCGGGGCTCCCAGGCTCCCAGGCCGGGCCTCCGCTAAAGGCGCGGAGCATCAGGCGCTGAGAGCGCAGAGTAGAGAGAGCAGTGATCGCTAAAGAGAAGTGGGAGACAAAGATCGCGCCGTCCCAGCCCGCCCGCCAGCGTCCAAGCAGTTCCCGCACCCTTAACCTGCCGGCCTTTACCCGGCTCGACCAGCGGCCATGCAGCCCCGAGGCTGAGGCGGCCCCATGGCGAAACCCGCGTCCCCGCGGTCCCGGCAACGACGGCGCATGGAGAACTTCCGTAAGGTGCGCTCCGAGGAGGCGCCGGGGGGTGGGGGGGTCGAGGGGGGCGGCCCGGGCTCCGGCCCCTTCGCAGACCTGGCGCCCGGCGCTGTACACATGCGGGTCAAGGAGGGCAGCAAGATCCGGAACCTGCTGGCCTTCGCCACCGCCAGCATGGCGCAGCCAGCCACTCGCGCCATCGTCTTCAGCGGCTGCGGTCGGGCCACCACCAAGACCGTCACGTGCGCCGAGATACTGAAGCGCCGCCTGGCTGGCCTGCACCAGGTCACGCGGCTGCGCTACCGGAGCGTGCGCGAGGTGTGGCAGAGTCTCCCACCTGGGCCCACGCCGGGGCAGAAGCCCAGTGAGCCGGCCGCCAGTCTCAGTGTACTTAAGAACGTGCCCAGCCTCGCCATCCTACTTTCCAAGGATGCACTGGATCCGCGTCAACCCGGCTACCAGCCCCCGAGCCCCCACCCTGATCCTTCATCCCAGCCAACCGCGCCGACGTCCAAGAGGAGCTTAAGGGAACCCGCTGCTGGAGAAGGCTCCGCGAAGCGGTCACACCCTGAGCCAGGTGCTGCGGAAGACAACCAGACGATGACCTGAGAACTCCCTGCCCTGGGCCACCTAGACTGGCTAGATCTTACCCCCAGCGGCTCCACCTTGAGGCGCACCTCCAGACGTTCACACCTCGGTCTTCTGGAGCTCACAGCCTGGTCTCAGCTCCTCAGACTGGTATCATGGACCCCACATCACAAGAGAGGGACCCAGGGAAGCTTCGTGGGGCGATTGCCCCTCCATCTGTGTTGTCTGAAGGCGCAGAATTCCACCGTCATCTTTTCTGAGCCATACTGGGACCCTTTTTAGGGAGGGAATGGTGGACAGTGGAACTCTTGAGCCATACTCAGGACCCCCACGGGTTAAAGGCACCCAGCATTCATGAGGGAAGCCAAGGAGAGCTCTTGGAATCACCCCCACCAGCGGAGTGCAACGGGTGAGAAACTGGTAGGGGAGTCTGAGTTGTGGGGAGCCCCATTCTGCCCCTCACCCCAGGACAGTTACCTTTCTAGTTTTCTTCCCCCCTGCTTTTAAGGAACAGTCTTGAGATTATGGTGGCCGCGGCATTGCCACAGACTCCAGCTCTTGTAACATCCCCCCCTTCCCCATGCTGGCCCAGAGGGAGAGACCCAAGACAGAACTCTCCATGCCTCCTTCTTTGAGCCCCAGCTGGAGTCTTGCTTCCAATAAAACAAACACAAAAATGGCTCTGTCCCAGGTTTTCTCTTAACCACTTGCATTGCAAAGACAGCTCTGGCCTGCCCCCTTGTGTCTCAGTCCCCACTAGCCTAGGATCCTTAGTCTTTGGAGTCTTCAGGGTCAGGCACAGACCGGGCAGTTTCAAAATGGTTCAAGGAGCACATTGCCCAGTCCCTGGCTTCTCCCTCTCTCTCCAGCCCTCCCTAGCTGCCTCTGGCCTCAGGGGCTCATGGCCGGAAGGCCTGTCTCCCCCCATGCATTACCAGTAAGGAAAAGGGAGCAGCACATTGCTTTTCTGAGAGAGGAAGGAAGAAAAGCATCGATGAACTCCCCTGGGGGGATCATTGCCAAGGGTGGCAGAACCTACTGGGGTCCCTAAACCTGCAGCCTTCTGCCAATAGACTGAGCCTTATCCAGAAGACCAGCACAAAGCCCCACACTCCATGGGTAGGATCTCCCTTTCACTGCTCTCTCTCTCTAAGAAAGGACAGCACACCCTTGGGAGAGGGGAAGGAGAGAGATGAGCACAAATCCACTGCTGGAAATTACTATTCAGCAGAGAAGCTGGGACTTGGGCTGTGAATCCCTGCAGGCTCCCTGATAAGCTGCTGCCTTCAGCCCTGCACAGCTGTCTGCTGAGAGATAACGGCCTGAAGCCTCTGTCCAACTCCAAGTCAGCTGGGGGAGGAGGAAGTGCTGTCTTCTAGAAGAACTCTAGTGAGTAAAGGTGTATGTGTGTGTGTGTGTGGGGGGGGGCAACATAGCCCCAGGATCTCAGCAGCACACCTCAACCCATGCAACTCAACAGCACCCTGGACAGGAGGAGGTGGGGAGTAATATAAGTCACTTTGCTGGTGAATCCTGAAATAAATCCTTCTGCTGGTGATAAGAGGTAGGTTTCTGCTTCTGACAGAAGCAGCTCTTCAGGGAGTTGTCCCTCCCCTATATCTCTGCTTGAGCTTTGTATCAATAAGCCCTCCCATCCAGACTGGCACTCATTGCCCTCCCCAATTTATTGTTTTTGATGAGTGAGTCCCTGCAGGGAGCCAAGGGGCTTGTGTGTGCTTGCTGACTCTCAGGGGTGGCCCAATAAGGGTGGAAAGAATGTAAATTATCCTAACAACCAAGGATCCCTGGGTTGGTCCTGGGCTTCCTCATCTAAAATAAACAACAAAACTTAGAAGAGGTCCTGCATGGTAGAAGCAAGCTTAAGGGAGACGTCTCGGTTCTGGAAAAGGGCCAATGCTCGAAGACCACCACACCAGTACCTAAAGTCCTGATTGGCACTCACCAGGACTATGCAAGCAGGGGCTTTCTCTCTTTGATTCTTGGGTCAGGTAAGTCCACTTCCGCCCTGGAAACTCCTGGGGTGTGGAGAAAAGAGGGGCTTGTTGTTGCCCCACCTTCAGAGTGTTAACCTGCCCCCATGAGGACTGTTTCTGCCTCCCATGCTGGAAATCAGGTTATGAAACTGGCTTGCTTTTCTGCACCCCCCACTCCAGCAGGTTCGGTTTCCAGGCCTTTAATAGGTGCCCATGGGTGCCAGTGGAACCTAGAACCCATGAGCACCCCACCCTTGCCTTACTGATCCTCTGGCCCTGTTGACTCAGGGACAGGCTTCAAAGGAAGGTGACAGGTATCCCTGGACCCCTCCCCCCAAGGCTGAGGTGGGACCCTGAGAAGTGCTAGAATAAGAGGGGCAGGGTGACTTGCAGGGGAGAGGCCCAGTGGCAGAGTGGGAGGGGGTGTGAAGTCCTCCTGTGACGCCATCTTTCCAACAGTAGCCTCTATTCAGGAGCTTCTTAGGCCCTGCCTTGGGACACTTGTAGGCCAGGGGTGGCAGTGAAGGCTCACACCCACAAAACTGTCAGGTCACACAATCAAAATCCATTTGGGAACTTAGATGTATATAATCCAAGGCCAGAGCCTGTGGTCAGATGGGCAGTGGGCCTCCAGCTGGGCCTTGAGGGACTTCACTGTTGTACCAGGTCCCAATCTAGGCCTGGGGTGGGACTGGGGATAAGAACCACAGAATAATCAGATATTGTTTCTGCCTCAAGGAGGTCCCAGTCTAGTGCAGGGAAAGAAAAAGCCACAGCACAGTGCCATGGTAGTGGGAGAAGGTGGGAGCTCTGAAAGGGGGCGCTTAACTCACCCAGAGGTGCTAATAAAGCTGGTTCCCCACAGACCAGAAGGTCTGTGCAGGCAATTCCAGGCAGAGCACTGAGAGGTGATGCTGTCTCTGGTGTTGAGGCAGCCTCAAGTGTCTGAAAAACATAAGCATCCTAAGGACACGTGGCAAGAGACAGGTGGGACTGGAATACCAGGTGGGAGTCAGGCCACAGGGAAGCAGCAAGGAAGTAGGGGGCCAATGAAAGCCAGGCAGTGCCCCAGTCAGCTTGGTGTTTGAGAAGGATCCCTCTGACACCTCTGTAGGTGGGAAGTGGATTGAAAAGGGCCTGACTGGATCCCAGAGGCTACAGGGAGGTAAGAGATGGGACTGTGGTAGCAGAGACACAGATGGGGATAGATTTTATAGGATTTCACTGCCATTACAGCCAGGACAGAGGAAGGCTTCTCCTGTGGCATTAGCCCTAGCCTGGCTAACCTGGCATCCCAAGGGACATGCTATAGAAGGGCCAAACAATAGAGGGATTTTTGTGGGTGTGTAGGAGGTGACGTCCACAGCTTCAAACTCGTAAAAGCTTTAGGAGCTATTGTCTATTGGCCATTATTCTGCCCGGGCATGTTCACTGCACAGTAGGGAGAAGACCTGGGTCAGACACACTCCCACCTCACTCCTACACGTACCCCACCACTCCCTCCATCTCCCAGCCCCAACCCCATTAGTTTTGCAGTTTGGGTCATTGCTGTGTCCACATTGGCCACTAGGGATGCTGTAGTCTCCTCAATTTCACCGAGGTGTTGAAATACTTCCAGGTCTCCCAGAAAGGGGTAATTGAAGAAAGGGAGGGAAGGAGGAGGGAGGAAGGAAATACAGCTACAGGAGGGTCTCCTTGGTGACACCAGGTTTCTTCTCAGATCACAGATCTTAATTGGTAATTGTACCCCCATAATGTGATCCTATGATTGTCAGTCACCGCACTGAACCAGAAGCCCATGATTCAATGGATCCTGCCTACCTTACTCCCTAAGCGGCTCCTGGCACACAGGAAGCCCACAGAGAGCTGATGACTGAAGGAATATACTGATTGAGCCAGATTTTGAACTGTTCTGATGCCATATGAAAGTCCCTAACTGTCCAGCCCCATGGACAGTGGCCTATCTCTACCCCAGCTTCTTTTCCCCTCTGGGCCCATGGGTCCTAGCTGCTCTTTGGAAAAGCTAGAGTCACCATGGTAATTGGGTTTGTATATCCAACTTTAGGATTCTGGTGGGATTTCTGACACCTCCTGATTATCATAGATATTGTGGATTGAATTGCATCCTTCCAAAAGTGATGTTAAATCTTTAACCCCTGGTACTGTAAATGTGACCTTATTTGGAAATAGGGTTTTTGCAGATGTAATTAATATATAAGATGAGGTCATACTGAAGTAGGATGGGTCCTGAATCCAATATGACTAGTGTCCTTGCAAGAGAAGAAGAGACAGAGACACACACAGAGCGAAGAACAACATGTGAAGAAGAAGGCAGAGACTAGAGTTGTGCAGCTGCAAGCCAAGGAATGCCAGGGATTGCGGGCAAACAACTGAAGCTAGGAATAAGGCATGGAACAGATTCTTCCCTAGAGCATTCAGAGAGCATGATCCTGCTGACACCTTGATCTTAGACTTCTAGCTTCCAGAACTATGAGAGAATAAATTTCTGCTATTTGAAGTCACCCAGTCGTTGGTGCTTTGCTACAGCAGCCTTAAGAAACAAATACAGTAGGTATTCTCACCACCTTCAGTGGAAAAAAGAAAAAAGAATGTGGGGTGTTTGCCAAGGTCCTTGTTATCAGAATTTCCAGTCCTGGGCCAGATGAGTGGCTCGTTGGTTAAGAGTTGGCTTGGGGGCCGGCCGAGTGGCGCGATGGTTGAGGGCTTGCTTGGGATGCCGGAGGGCCCCGGTTCGGATCCCACATGTGAGGGCCAGTGACACTGTCCTCTACAGCTGAGGTGCTGAGCAGCGGCTCGACTTGGAGCTGGGCTGCTGTGGGTCGCCGGCGGCGGCGTGGGCTGCAGTCCCTGTGGCGGTGGGTTGCCATGGGCTGCCGTGTGTAGCCAGCGGCCAGCGTGAGCGGCCAGCAGCCGCAGTGAGCGGCCGTCCAGAGGCCGGCGACTGATCTGCCTCACCCGGGAAGAGCGCAGTGATGGTGCCAACTTGGGCCAGTGGGGCGGCGTCCTCCACAGCTAGACTGAGGAGCAAAATTACGGCAACTTGTCTGTCCCCCTTCCCCCAATTCCCCAGCACTGTTCCCATCCCCCCAATTCACCAATAAAAATATTTAAAAAAAAAAAAAAAGAGTTGGCTTGGGACGTCAGCTCTGAGCAGCAGGGCCCCAATTCGGATCCCACATTAGGGCCAGTGACGCTGCTCCCTTTATAGCTAAGATGGTGAACAATAGCTCGACCTGGAGCTGGGTTGCCGTGCAACGGTGTAGGCTGCAGTGAAGCTGCAGTGGGCTGCCATAAGCTACCGTGAGCGGCTGGCAGCCTTCGTGAGCTGCCAAGAGCCTCCGTGAGTGGCTGTCCAGTGGCCGGCAACCGACCTGCCTCAGCCGGGAAGAGTGCAATGATAATACCAACATGGGCCAGTGAAGCGACGTCCTCCACAACTAGACTGAAGAACAAAAGGACAGCAACTTGTCTGTTCCCCTCCCCCAATTCCACAATAAAATCTTAAAAAAAAAAAGAAAAAAATTCCAGTCCTGAACAGAAGGAGGCTGTCTACTCTAAGGCTTGTGCTGGCAAATGTAACACCTGGTGTCATATTGAACAAAAGTCAGGCTGACAGTGATTTGGGGTAAGTTCTTTTCTGAGCCTCAGCTTTCTTATCTGCAAA